CCCCCCAACCTACGGTTTCATATGTCGCAGTTGATTCGGTATTTAAAAGCTTACTCCAAACATCATGATTTCGTGGCAGATGGCAGAAAAACTAACAACACCGGAGATCCTGATGTGCAGGTTGATGAAGATTATTATGGAGGTCGATTGTTTCTTATTATTATGTTCATCAGTGACGGTGTGGCTTGTGAGTTACGGTTTCCTTGACAATTCGGTAGATGTACAAGCCCGTAAACCTTTTGTGAAGTATGTTTATTATTTTTTGAGAATTTCAAAGTGAATGTAATGAAGAAAATGTTCCTATTTCGTTTCCCATTACAGCATAATAATAAATGAAAGGAACAGGTAAGTTACAAAATAATGTATCTGACCATTAAACCACTACTTAACAAAGCACAGTGACCATGTGTGTTACGTGCTTTACACAGTTATTCTGAATTATCGTTATTCAACTCGAAACAAACAAACGGTTGTTAAGAAAGCTTTATAAGCTTGGTACTTTCAAAATAAGAGCATAAACTGAATTAAGATTGACAGTAACAGTGGTTATCTTTACCTCATTTGGAAAAAAATGGAAAAGGTATCAATTTTATTCTCTGTCTAATAATTCAATATAACAATATAAAAGATAATAATGAACATCTTACCTGTAATGTAATCAATCTGGGTGTTAAACTTTGTGTCGTTTCTCCCTCTTCACTAACACTTTGTGATCTTTGATACTTATATGCTCAATGTACCCGGTGTTCTGCCTGTTGTTATCAGCGATTGCTGTGGCGTGTGATACCCGGATGGTGTCTGCCCATTAGTCAAACGTTGACGGAAGATCAGGTGAAGCTCTGTCATTGACTGATATCAAATCCATTGTGCAATTATTTTATTTTGATATTATCCTGATAGTGCACAACAAGTTTTCCTAAATTAAAATATAGATTAATATACACGCTTAACTCATCATAAATTTGAAGTTAACCATAGTCCTCTTATTTCTTATTTTACTGGAATACTTTAGATGATAATATTAAATCTCTGCCTCTACAATCTTTTAAACTAGCTCTATCCCAACATATTCCCACAAGTCAGCCCTGTTACATACTAGACTAAGACATCAATGTAACTTTCTTAAAGATGATCTATTCCGTTCAAGATCCTAATTGTGTAAATTGTTGGCACCGTTGTGAAAACGCTTTTCGTTTCTGTTTTGATTGTAAATGTTATTCAAATGCTCGTGCAGTAATGCTTAAAGATTTTAATAACTTAAATATGCAAATTAGCTTAAATTTGTTACTTTTTGGCAATGAAAACCTGGCTTTGGATGTCAATTGCAATGTATTCGAACATGTGCAGTCCTTCATAAAATCCAGCGGACAATTTTGAACATTTTTTTTCACATGTAATTGACTTCTTTCAATTGTTGAAAATGAAATTACATGTCTATGTCATCACTTGTATGATAAAAGGAATTAAATGTCCATGTGAAGGAAGTAAATATAGAAAAAATAAGATTAACGACCGACTAAAAAACTAGCTGCTTTAACAACGTCGTGACGTCACAATTACATGTCATCACACTACAATAGTAACGTGACGTCACGAAGTACACAAGATTGGAAGACAATTTAGCGTAAAATGTTACTGTAGCCTGTTGAGACTTGGTTTTAATATTTTGATTAGTTGGTCTTCTTTTGTTTCTCTTAAAATAGTGTCTGATGAAAATAGTTGATACAAAGGTAATACATTAAATTTATCTCCAGCACATTCATGAATATGTTTGTTAACATGAAGAATCAGTTCTAGTTTGTTGTCTATCTGTTGTCTATGTACAGTCATACGTGTTCTGAGTTCATTACCGGTTTGACCGATGTAAAAATCACCACATTTAGAACAAACGATTGCATAAATTACATTTTTTGATTTACAATTCATATTTACCTTCACAGTAAATTTCAAACCATTCTTGAAAATAAAAGTATTACACTCGATAATCATAGGACATGTAGCACATCTTGGTGTCTTACATTTGGATACTTTTGGTGTTACACAAGAATTATCAAACTTAGAACATGTCAACATACGTTTCAAGTTTTTAGGTTGGCGTCTACAGTGTAAAATAGCATGTTTATTAAAAATGTTTCTCATACGCCTGCTACTTTGCTTTAACTCTTCACATTTGTTCTTTATCACAGGAAACATATTACAATTCCGTGGATTGAAAGTAGATATATAAAATATTTTGTTGATGGCTTCATAAGTTGCTATAACTTGTGCCAAATCCTTTGTACCTATTTTGGACAATAAAATATGTTTAAAGTCAGGTTTTATTTCTTATATTCTTTTAATTAAGGGGTTATACGGACACTCACCCCTACTGTTTCAACAGCAGATTATACCAATTTGGATTTCCAACTTTTTGGCCCCTAGCATCACTGATAAGTCCTAGAAGGACGAAACAGCTGTATAATGCAGTGTCATTTATGTTTTGCATACTGTATCTACTATCAAATTTTAAAGGTACACCACTTGTGTGTCTTAGGTTATCATATCACTTCACGGTAAACAATATTTTCAAATGGTTTTGAATAAGGTGTATAAAATGAAATGCATATGTTCCTATACTAGGAAAAACTATACGAATCCTCCTGTGAAATATAAGCCTTATTTATTTCTATAGGTTTATGCTGTTTTTCTCACGTTTTGCCGTTTCTTCGGTTCTAGTTGTTGTCATTTCTGTCGATTCTGTGCTTCGATATTGTGATGTAACTATTTTTTCTACATAGATTTGAACTTAGACTGGCTCCCGTCTCTAGAATATTGAGTAAATCAGCAAAGAAAATTTGATAATTTTTATCTGTTGGATGCAAGTTTCCAAACTAGGGGGAGATAAGCTAGTCTTCAAGTGTAGCTGGGATTTTCCCCCATAAAATTAGGGGCTGGTTGCCAGTCTACAAGTAACTTATTTCAATATGTGATTGAAATTATCAACATAACTAAACAGAGATTGGTGTAAACATGGTATGTATTTGTTGATTGTAGATACCAGAATTTATATGTAATGGTAAATTATTATCAGCGTGATTATGGAAAATTAAGTTTTCCCGAAATTACATTATTTGACTGCTTTTAAAATGATGATTTAAAAACAAAAACGAAACATGCGCGTTATTCCTTTTAGATATTTCATTTAAAATGAATAACCGTGAACATTATTAGTGACGTTTTTCGCTAATCTCCAATTTGAATATTGCAATGAACGATGTAAGTTTTGGGTAACTCAGTTCACAATATGGTACATGGTATATGTATTTATTTATGTACTGCTGAATGCAATGTTTTATTTTCATCACTTTTAATGAAAAATGTTTTTACAATAACTAAAATTGATGCCGGAAGAAAATGAAGATAAAAATTATTGAACTAAAGCTTTGAACAACATGATAAATCATGAAAATCTAAAATATGTATTGGAAAACAATGGCGACCAGGAACATCTCGGTCTTATACGTGTAAGAATTATAACATAATTTCTCCGACAAGTTGACAACAACAGAAAAAGGTATGTTTTAGACAAGCAGATTATGTTCTAAATACGACTTAAATTTTAATACGTTTGATAAGTTTGGTAAACAATCTATCGATAATATGTAATGGGAGATAACTCGCGTATCAATTAGTTATCGGCTCTTCTAACAGGAAATAACATTTTTCTACTTTCGTTATCTCATCTTTGGACTTTATACCATGCTGTAGATTGCTTGATATATTTTGCGATAAACGGTTTTTCAACTACATCAAGAATAACGTAGAAATAAAAGGTAAGTATTAAACAAAACTTAAAATATAAACAGGAAAATTCAACACAGTTTTAGCCTGGTTTTAAACCCCAAATACTATGTTGGGCCCATTACCCAGAGATGCTTCGTACCAAATGTTACTATCCATTCATATGTATTTACATTTGCCCATGGATCACATAAACTACCTAATTAGTCAAAATTTCTTCACTCGTACCAAGGGAGTAGTATTCCTAAAACTTACTCATATTATCCTTTTGGGCTGCAACCCTCTTCTTCTATCATTAACCTGCAAACTACCTCTCCAGCACACTCGATGTTTAAACAACAATGATTTAAAAAGAGGTTAAAAGTCCTTTGTCCGTCCATGCATAGGAACAACATTAAACAAGTAAATTCCCACCATATGGGAGGGGAGGGGAGGGGCGTACACTCTATGTTTATATGCCATTTTTCTCTCTCTGTCTTAAAGTAAGCAACCGCAATAGTTTCCTACTCTTCACAGGCATTAAGAGACGTTTTCCTGTAAAATTGATTTCATTTACTTTATACTTTCATACAAAGACAATTATTGGTGAGGAACATTTAGGGTTTAAACATTTTGAAATTTTCCCCAGCTTTGAAGCTGAAAAGTGTAAAAGCTCGCGATATGTAATCAGGAGTCTTCACAATAGAAATGTTTGTTTGAAGAAAAAGGGAAATCACAATGAACATATACTAAATATCTCTACCTTCACACTTCATTTACAAGAGTTATCTCTCTTCCGTCTACGTTCAAACATATCAGTATTTTAGCATCGATATCAGTCTTTTCACCTCTCTTCATGAACAAATCTTCCAATGTCTTACACGAGGACAAGATAGGGATAAACAAGCAGTGACCCTTCCTGCACATAGACTAAGCAATGTTCATCACAATAGATGTTTCCGCAGAGGAGTGTATATTAGTCATTTCGGACCGGAATCATATTCATTAAAATCCGATGTTTATACAAAATAAATATACAGTAATGTGAATTGTACCACACATTAACATGATATACGTTAAGTCGTAACGAAATATTTAGAATTTACTGTTTTGAAATGAAATGTTAGCTTTGATTGAAATTTTCCTTCATTTCAGACAATTCTTTGAAGAATGGCAGAAGCAGACCCAATCCAACAGTTGGATAGCAGGGAAATCTCTATCTTTGCCGGACTGACTGATTGTCCTATATGCTTAAATCAGTTAGAGTGTCCAAAATCACTTCCATGTCTCCATACCTTTTGTAAAGAATGTCTCGATACTTTTATAGTGAAGCATGCTTCTGACACGACATCAGTGCCAGTGAGTTTCCCGTGTCCGATGTGTCGGAGGGAGACTCAACCTGTTGACGCATCTGTGAGTCGTACTAGATGGGCAGAACAATATCCAAAAAACAATCTGATATTGGCCATTTTGGATATGAAGGATTTACAGTTGTCCAATAAGATTTGCAAACCGTGTCAGAAAAAGCACAAGCTGGAGAAAGAAGCCACAGTTTGGTGCAGAAATTGCAACATGTTCCTTTGCGATGATTGTAGAATAGATCATGATTTTTATATTGAGGGACATACTATTTTGACGTCAAAAGAGGTAGAAACTGATCCAACGAAAACTATAATTATTTCGACAAAATGCGAGAGTCATGAAGAAACGATGAAGCTGTTTTGTCGAGACCACGAGGTCGTTTGCTGTTCTACATGTGTTGCTGTTGAGCACAGAAAATGTGACAATGTCGTAACTGTAAAGGAACAGGCAAAGAATCTGAAGGAAAGAAAACAGGCCATGCCAATTCTGACAAGCATGAGTAAAGACATACGCACTTTAGACGGATTGCTGAATGATTCACAAACCAATATTGATGAGCTTTTAAATGACAAAAAGGGGAAGATTAGTGATATGTCACAGTTCCGCAAGCAAATTGATGCACGTTTAGATTATTTACAGAAAGGCGACGCGGAAAGATTGGAAGTAGCCGTGGAAAAACAGCAAGTTGGCATCAAATCGAGAATGAAATCCGTAAACAATTTAAAATCTGCCATTGAACAATCTCAGAAGCAGATCAGAGCTGCAGAAATATGCTTGGATGATGCTCAGCTTGTTATGACTGTACAGAAGGTATCCGCAGCAAGGGAAGCGTATCAGCAGATGGTTGAGGAAAACGTCTCACTGCAGAAGCGACACAAGATCGATGTACACATGATCGAAGCTGTAAAGGGATTATTTGATATGTCAACTCTGATCAAAGTAGACGATGAATCTAGAATAGCGGTGGATCCATTCAAATGGTGCAAAAAAGCGAGGCTAACACACAGGATTCAAATGACACCCAATTCACGTACGACAGGCATTCTTTATCTTGGGGCTGACAGCATTGTGACAGTAGATTACAATAATTGTATGCTTAGTTGCCATTCAACTGGAGGAAACCTGAAATTTCATCTCAAACTAGAGGAAAAACCATGGGATGTATGCAAGATGGATGACAATGGCATAGCTGTGACAATTCCAGGAAAGAAAATAATCGCTCTGGTGAAGGTGATGGATAATGACTTTTCTGTGACAGGAAACATTCAAGTAAAAAGAAAATGTTATGGGATCGCATGTATAGAAAAAAGGTTTGTTGTAACGTGTGCAAATGACCAAGAGGTGTTAGTATTGAGCTCTTCCGGTCAAATTCTGTGTAACATTATTGGGAACAGCCATATGTGGCATGCAATTTCTGCAAAAGGAAGCAAAAACTTCATTGTTAGTGAAAGACGTGGGAACCAAGGGAAAATCACGCTACACAGACTTGACGAGAAGAAAACCATGAGTAGTTTTTTTCAGAGCGAATCCGTTTCTGGCGGTAGGGGAATGGGCGCCGACGAATTTGGGAACATTTATGTGTGTGCAATTGATGACAATAGTGTGTTGATGGTGTCACCAACAGGACAAAGCAAAAGCATCTTGTCTAAAGAAGACGGACTGAATCAACCGTGTGCTATCGGTGTCCATGACGACAAAATTATTGTCTTTGAAGAAGGAAATGTCGTCGGCAAAGTATTCCAGTTGCTTGCGTAAATTCAAACTATATGCATGCGGTAATCCAATTTGTATTACTTCGTATTTTATGGTATAAAAGTAGAACCCGAAATGGCCTTTCCGGTTTTATCATCCATACTAATACTAACAATATCCAACAAATATTCTGATATTCGCTAATTGGATATGAAGGCTTTTAAATTGTCCAATAAAATGTGTATACCATGTAAAAAAATCACATGATTCCAATGCGAATAGCATGACGTTTATAGTGACGGACATATTGTTTCGGGGTCAAAAGAGATAACCGGATCGGACAAATGTGAGAGTCATGAAGAAGCTATTTTGTCAGGACCACAATGTCGTTTGCTGTTCTACATGTGTTGCTGTTTGACACAGAAAATGTGATAATGTATATTACTGTAAAGGAATAGGCAAAGAAACTGAATGAGAGCAAGGAAACTAACTTCTGACAGGCATTAGTCCAAGGACATACGCACTTTAGACGAATTGTTGGATGATTCACAAACCCATATTGATGAGCTTTCGAATGACAAAAAGAGAAAAATGAGTGAAATGGCCCAGTTACGCAACCGCATTGATGCACGTTTAGATTATTTACAGAAATGCGACGCGGAAAGATTGGAAGTAGCCCTGGAAAAACAGCAAATTTACATCAAATCGAGAATGAAATCCGTAAATAATTTAAAATCTTCCATTGTACAATCTCAGAAACAGATCAGAGCTGCAGAAATATGCATGGCTGATGCTCAGCTTGTTATGACTGTACAGAAGGTCTCCTTTACAAGAGAAGCGTATCAGCAGATGGTTGAGGAAAACAATACTTGTTATCGCTATTTCTCAGAAAGAACTGGAGGGATATTTCTCAAATGGGACATGTAGATTTCTCTTGGCCGCTATATATGCACGCGTACGTTTGAGACTGATCTTAAAATCAAAATGGCCACCGGCAACAATCTTGGTTTTTTACAGTTAATATTAGTTTTCTCTATTTCTCAGAAAGTACTGGAGGGATCTTCTTAAAATTGAATGTTAGTTTCCCTTGATCCACTCGTTTAAAATACTCCCGGTCTTAATGATAATTCATCCTTCATTGAAAGCACTGATTAACATAAGCTGTAATTTGACACGGAGTTGTTGGGAAGGGTAACATAACCTGTAATTTGACCCGGAATTGTTGGGAAGGGTAATATTACCTGTAATTTGACCCGGAGTTGTTGGGAAGGGTAATATAACCTGTAATTTGACCCGGAGTTGTTGGGAAGTGTAATATAACCTGTAATTTGACCAAGAATTGTTGGGAAGGGTAATATAACCTGTAATTTGACCCAGAATTGTTGGGAAGGGTAATATAACCTGTAATTTGACCCGGAGTTGTTGGGAAGGGTAATATAACCTGTAATTTGACCCAGAATTGTTGGGAAGGGTAATATTGCCTGTAATTTGACCCGGAGTTGTTGGGAAGGGTACATAACCTGTAATTTGACCCGGAATTGTTGGTAAGGGTAATATAACCTGTTATTTGACCCGGAGTTGTTGGGAAGGGTAATATAACCTGTAATTTGACCCGGAGTTGTTAGGAAGGGTAATATAACCCGTAATTTGACCCGGAATTGTTGGGAAGGGTAATATAACCTGTAATTTGACCAAGAATTGTTGGGAAGGGTAATATAACCTGTAATTTGGCCCAGAATTGTTGGGAAGGGTAATATAACCTGTAATTTGACCCGGAGTTGTTGGGAAGGGTAATATAACCTGTAATTTGACCGGGAGTTGTTGGGAAGGGTAATATTGCCTGTAATTTGACCCGGAGTTGTTGGGAAGGGTAACATAACCTGTAATTTGACCCGAGTTATAGGGAAGGGTAATATAACCTGTAATTTGACCCGGAAACGTTTGGAAGGGTAATATAACCTGTAATTTGACCCGGAGTTGTTTGGAAGGGTAATATAACCTGTAATTTGACCCGGAATTGTTGGGAAGGGTAATAAAACCTGTAATTTGACCCGGAATCGTTAGGAAGGGTAATATAACCTGTAATTTGATCCGGAGTTGTGGGGAATGGTAATATAACCTGTAATTTGACCCGGAGTTGTTGGGAAGGGTAATATAACCCGTTATTTGAACCGGAATTGTTCGGAAGGGTAATATAACCTGTAATTTGACCCAGAATTCTTGGCAGGTGTAATATAACCAGTTATTTGACCCGGAGTTGTTGGGAAGGGTAATATTGCCTGTAATTTGACCCGGAATTGTTGGGAAGGGTAATATAACCTGTAATTTGACCCGGAGTTGTTCTTCCTTTTACTTCGTTATTTCGCGATTAGAGCAGGCTTAGGGTTTCGTTTGAATGATTTGATATCTTTAAATTTAAAAGATTCAATAAGTTAAATCAGACTCGATGTTGTATAACTATAAAATCAAGTGTTTAATGTACAACTAAAATCGCATGAGTATGTATAACTACTTTATTTTAATAAATTGGTTTAGTCTGTACAAATATTTGGGGCGTACAAGTATATTCCATTAAAAATGCATTGATATTTTTTATTAACTTAACGTTCTAATAATCGTCTGTTTGAATATCATGTTTTGTTCAATTACTGTTACTTTAGTTTTCCCGCTGATTGATAAGACCACGCCCACCTCTTCAGGCTGAGGAGCTATTATTCCATTTACTCCAGTCATCACCACTACCTTTCCTTTCTTTCGACGCAATGATACTTTACCTGTTAACCAGTAAAGATATGCATTCGTTTTTCAACGTCTCTGAATCCATTAAAATTTCGACACTTTAGAAACAAAACACATTTTAATATTGGGCTTATTCTTATAAATACCATTCATTGCTGTTATACCTAACCGTCGTCATGAAAACGTTTATTTACAAATATGGAATTCCAGTGTATGCTACAATAAAAGACAAACTCACTATGGCCTAGATAGGAGACCTGTGTCTTCCATGATTTCCTGCATAGCTTAGGAGGCATCACGACTGGTGCCAAATACGGTGCGAAAAACGCTTACTTTTGGTGTAATTTAAATTTTTCATTTTTTTCATTTTTTTTATTTGGTTTTGCTGTCGCATTGTTTTCTTTAGTTGTCTTTTTGTGCCGAACTTCAGTAAGTTTTAGGAAAAAATAATAGCGAGAGTGCAGGCAAAGGATATATTTGATTTCTTTAAAAAAAAATCACAAGCAGACTGATTTAGTCCATTTGCTCTGTTTTACAGCTTTGCAGTTGAATCGTACGATCAATAAATTATATATCATACAAAAGTATAGCCTAACTACATTATTACCGAAGAATTGTATTTCTTATATATGTTTTTGATATCTTAAAATCAAGTAATGGAATCATTGAATACAAATACGAATACAAGTACAAATTTAAAATAGCTAAAGGCCTGCGGTATCGGTCTTTTTGTGACTTGTTAATTTTCCTTTTCCTTTACTGTCACAAGGTCTTCTATCTAATAATTTATTATATTAATTGATATATATTATCCTTCAGTATGAAAGTTGGTCATCATGACATGTGATTATTTTGTGAAATGCTGCAAATAAATGCTATTACCAAGTGGGTGTTTTACTAGCCGTAAGGGCATGTTTGATGAACTACCAGCTTAACAATATTAAGTGATCACGTTGTCACATAAGTCATATCCTCGTTCCCAAGGTAAAAATTGCATTTTTACGCTTATTCATAAATAAGCGGGTGTACTATTTTCACCTGGTACCGAGGGTGCGTAAGTGTTGTGTGAACTCATATGTTGCTTATTTACAGTACGGTAAGCTCTGTTCTGTTATGCATAAAAAATGTAATTGCATACATCAATACGTCCGTGTATGACAGCCCTGGCAAATCAAAACGTTACTTATCTATAATAAGTGATATGCATATGTGTATCATGTTAATTTCACATAGTCATTAATTGTGTATTTTATTTATAATGAGTTTAATCATTGTGACATTTGTTTGTAAGTGTAATCTTTGCTTAGAGCTAAAAATAGAAGTAGCATGTATACATTTATACTTACAATAAAACAGAATAAAAATAACAAACAATTAACCTTCTTTGTCATTATTGTCACGAAAACCACAAAACCAAAATCAATACGACGGCATGTAGTATGAGTATCAGGTTAAAGGTCAAATCGAGTAAAACTCACTATAAACATAACAACAATCAAACAATCGCATTCAACGAGAACAAGGACTAATACACCAACCAAGGGGGAGGTAATACATGTCAACACGTCAACTAAGGGGAGATAACATTCACAAACAAAAACGATCGAAGCTCCGAGACATTCTTTGACATAGGCCACTCTTCTAATGCGGATTAAAAATAGTCTCCGAGGGAGGTGAGACACTAACGATGAGAGATGAAGGTAGTAGAAGAGTGATTGAAGTGGTTGGTGTGATGACACGTGGAATCTCCTACTTAGTGTAATGGTGTGGGATATACCCCGTTGGTGAGTGAAAGGGTGTATGTTGTCTCCCCTTTAATTGGTGTAATGGTGTGTGTTATCTCCCGTTGGTAAGTGTAATGGTGTGTGTTATCTCCCATTGGTGAGTGTAAGGATGTATGTTGTCTCCCGTTTGATTGGTGTAATGGTGTGTGTTACCTCCCGTTCGTGAGTGTAAGGGTGTATGTTGTTTCCCCTTTAGTTAGTATAATGGTGTGTGTTATCTCCCATTGGTGAGATTGGTGTAATGGTGTGTGTTATCTCCCGTTCGTGAGTGTAAGGGTGTATGTTGTTTCCCCTTTAGTTAGTATAATGGTGTGTGTTATCTCCCATTGGTGCGATTGGTGTAATGGTGTGTGTTATCTCTCGTTGGTGAGTGAAATGGTGTATGTTGTCTCCCCTTTAATTGGTGGAATGGTGTGTGTTATCTCTCGTTGGTGAGTGTAAGGGTGTATGTTGTCTCCCCTTTAATTGGGGTAATGGTGTGTGTTATCCCCCGTTGGTGAGTGTAAGGGTGTATGATGTCTCCCCTTTAGTTAGTGTAATGGTGTGTGTTATCTCCCGTTGGTGCGTGTAAGGGTGTATGTTGTCTCCCCTTTAATTGATGTAATGGTGTGTGTTATCTCCCATTGGTGAGTGTAAGGGTGTATGTTGTCTCCCTTTAGTTAGTGTAATGATGTGTGTTATCTTCCGTTAGTAAGTGTAATGGTGTATATTGTCTCCCCTTTAATTGGTGTAACGGTGTGTGTTATCTCTCGTTGGTGAGTGAAAGGGTGTATGTTGTCTCCCCTTTAAGGTGTATGTTGTCTCCCCTTTAATTGGTGGAATGGTGTGTGTTATCCCCCGTTGGTGAGTGTAAGGGTGTATGATGTCTCCCCTTTAGTTAGTGTAATGGTGTGTGTTATCTTCCGTTGGTAAGTGTAATGGTGTATGTTGTCTCCCCTTTAGTTGTAATGGTGTGTGTTATCTTCCATTGGTGGGTGTAAGGATGTATGTTGTCTCCCCTTTAATTGGTGTAATGGAGTGTGTTATCTCCCGTTGGTGAGTGTAAGGCGTATGTAATGGTGTGTGTTATCTCCCGTTGGTGAGTGTAATGGTGTGTGTTATCTCTCGTTGGTGAGTGTAAGGGTGTATGTTGTCTCCCTTTAGTTAGTGTAATGATGTGTGTTATCTTCCGTTAGTAAGTGTAATGGTGTATATTGTCTCCCCTTTAATTGGTGTAACGGTGTGTGTTATCTCTCGTTGGTGAGTGAAAGGGTGTATGTTGTCTACCCTTTAATTGGTGTAATGGTGTGTGTTATCCCCCGTTGGTGAGTGTAAGGGTGTATGATGTCTCCCCTTTAGTTAGTGTAATGGTGTGTGTTATCTCCCGTTGGCGAGTGTAAGGCGTATGTTGTCTCCCCTTTAATTGGTGTAATGGAGTGTGTTATCTCCCGTTGGTGAGTGTAAGGGTGTATGTTGTCTCCCCTTTATTTGGTGTAATGGTGTGTGTTATCTTCCATTGGTGAGTGTAAGGATGTATGTTGTCTCCCCTTTAATTGGTGTAATGGTGTGTGTTATCCCCCGTTGGTGAGTGTAAGGGTGTATGTTGTCTCCCTTTAGTTAGTGTAATGATGTGTGTTATCTTCCGTTAGTAAGTGTAATGGTGTATATTGTCTCCCCTTTAATTGGTGTAACGGTGTGTGTTATCTCTCGTTGGTGAGTGTAAGGGTGTATGTTGTCTCCCCTTTAATCAGTGTAATGGTGTGTGTTATCTCCCATTGGGGGGTGTAAGGGTGTATGTTGTCTCCCCTTTAATCAGTGTAATGGTATGTGTTATCTCCCATTGGTGGGTGTAAGGGCGTATGTTGTCTCCCCTTTAATTGGTGTAATGGTGTGCTTTATCTCCCGTTGGTGAGTGTAAGGATGTATCTTGTCTCCCCTTTAATTGGTGTAATGGTGTGCTTTATCTCCCGTTGGTGAGTGTAAGGATGTATCTTGTCTCCCCTTTAATTGGTGTAATGGTGTGTGTTATCTCTCGTTGTTGATTGAAAGGGTGTATGTTGTCTCCCCTTTAATTGGTGTAATGTGTATGTTGTCTCCCCTTTAATCAGTGTAATGGTGTGTGTTATCTCCAGTTGGTGAGTGTAAGGCGTATGTTGTCTCCACTTTAATTGGTGTAATGGTGTGTGTTATCTCCAGTTGGTGAGTGTAAGGCGTATGTTGTCTCCACTTTAATTGGTGTAATGGTGTGTTTTATATCTCGTTGGTGAGTGTAATGGTGTATGTTTTCTCCCCTTTAGTTAGTGTAATGGTGTGTGTTATCTCCCGTTGGTGAGTGTAAGGCGTATGTTGTCTCCCCTTTAATTGGTGTAATG